AAACTCGAGGATGACTTGACCTTGTTAAATTTGCGAATAACATAATTATAAATCATTTGCCCATACAAACTGTTCCTAGAAGTAAAAATTTCATGTCTTTTGTGTTTTTAGAAATAACCCTGTAATGGTCTTTGTGTGTAATATTTATATTATAAATTTAATTAGGTACCTCATAATTTATGTTATTTGGTTTTATTCTAATGTAACGAATAAATATTATTTTATTAACAGAAGGCATGAAAAATAAAATTCATAAATTTGAACAATTTGTAACAACTTTCATATTTTACACAATTATACAAGTAGCGGCACGAAACTCTAGCGCTGACCGTTATTGCGCAGAAGTAAAAAATAAGGTACCTGAGGGGGGCTAGCGGAATGAAGAGTTTCGATTGGCTCTCCAGTCGCATTCCGTCACCCGCGCGACAGTACACATGCGCAGCAATCCCCTCCACGTATCGGCCAGCGCTAGACTTACGTGCCGCTGCCTATACTATGTGGGTGTTTAGGAAGCTCAACGGATCATTGTAATTACTCTATATTTGTGTTACCAAAGCCTCTGACAACCGCATTAATTAATTAAATTAATATAAATACTATCCAAAATTATTTTTTCGTTTCGTACCAGTAATTCACGAGTTTAGAGCGTTCACAAAACTATCAATTAATATTATATAATGTTTGGGATTGGATACGTAAGAGAATCCTTTAATTAATCAAAGAAAAACCATACCATAAAGGCAAACGAAGTAGAGCTGCTAAGCGCTTCACTAGTAACCAATGTTCATCCTTAATTTGCAATTCCCTGTGAGCGAGCTTCGAAATCAAATTTCACAACAGGAACAGTTACTAATTACAACCGTATCAGATTGCGCGAACATTTTAAAAATACATCGCAAAATTGATTTAGTAAACGGAGATTTCGGTTTTAAATGTCATTTCAAGGCTAGAGACGGGCTACCAGATATTGCTATGCTGTCGAAACGTAAGGGTTGGTTGGTTTTTTGACTCAGTTTCGTACTTGGACTCTCACATGTTTACATGGTGGACATCACATCCATCGAGGAACTCTTCCTTCAAGTTGTTAACAGCCAACCGTTCCTCATAAAGTTTAATCATCGGACGTCAAGGCAGAAAACAAAACCAACCGCATCACCTCGACGTCCGTCGTTCCACAACTGAGCGTTTCTTATTAAGGTAGTTTTGCCGCGCAACAACACTATGTGCAACCAGCTGCCCACTAATGTATTTCCAAATTTAGGTCCTTCAAGAAAAAAATGCCGGCAATGCACTTACGAGCCTTCATGCAATTTAATTTTAGCTAAAAGGTTGGGGCAATTAATCTGATTCTTAAATATTTTATTATTTAACACTTTGTTGCAAGTAGGTACATATACATAAATATAGTACAATTAAAATTATAAAATAAAGAGGACAACTGGGGGCTTTATCGCTTTCGAGCGATCTCTTCCAGCAATTAGATACGATAAGAAGTGTAAAACTACGTAAGACATATCGTTATTTAGGCAAAATGAAACTATGAATAAAAACTAATAGTAAAAAGCAAAGCAATTGAAACATATATAAACATATTTAAAAGTAAAAGGGACTATAATAAAAAGTAAATCAATTTTATACTTAAATATCTTAAATACAAACCAGTAGCGTTAACTAAACTGCGTTCCGTCCAGACTAACGTCGTTTCATGGCGCGAGACAAAAATATTTAGCAAAACGACCAGTAGAATCAACTCTAACTCAAGTAAACTCCCCCCTTTACATACCATCACAACATACAGCCTAATTGGGTATCACAATCTGCGTTTATATGTTTAATAAGTTAAATCAAATAATAATTTACTTATGTGTGCGTGGAATTCCACTTCTCAAAACCCCAATTACAATTTCATGAAAACATCTACGTATTCACAACCAGAATCTGTATAAACAATACCGAACGAAGCGCAATTGAGTTTCGAGTAATTTCAGAATGCAGTACATAATTAACGGTGTAGGTACTCGTACATTCACGCATTGTTTGCATAACTGCGTAACAAACACCTGACGCCATGTACCCGACTTAATTGCACTGAAGTATTTAATGTGCCTTATGCAGCCTGAAAAACAGATAAAGTATAACCACAGATTATATAAGGTTAATGATTTCGAAAGACTACAGAACGGAAGTCAACGAGTGACGATACTATTTTTGAAGTGAAACTTCTTTAGGCGCATGAGGGTAAAATTTAAAAAGGTTTTGTCGAAAGGGAGAGAGCGATTGATCATTGAGACCTATTGAGAGACAGTGAGAACGACGAATTACATTATATAAATTCTATTTTTAAAATTAAAATTTCGTATAGAGAATTTATGAAATATTAGTAGTATTATTTTTATGCAAAACAATTTATTGAAATCTTAAATTACGAATTGTAAATTAAAATGCCACGTGTTTTTATCATCGAAGAGATAAATTAAAAAAATATATTATTTGTATTTATTTTCGACACTGATTATTTTAATGACAATTAAATTCATTAAATTCCTTCCTTACTTTTTTCCAATCCCTCTAAGTCTCGGAAATCTAAAGTTTTAGATTTGTATAAATATGAACAAGACTTAAAAATTTGTTTGCCAAAGAAGTTTCACTTCATTGTGTACTTTTACGCACGCACTTTTTTTTAGTTGAGACCAATAGTAGAGATATTAACGCCTTCAAACAGTTAAGTTATTTATCTTTATTATATAAGTACACAATCTTATCCTAAACACTAAATCATTCTAAAAAATCTTGGCCGGTTAGGGAGTGGACAGGTATTGCGCCTACGGAAGAGTTGCTGCATCTGGCACAGAACAAGACACGCTTCACGAGACTGACAGCCAACCTTCATTAACGGAGAGTCACCAAAAGAAAAAGAAATCAGTCTATTTCTATTATTCTTTTAACAAAAATACTCTTTCGACTCCTTTTATCAAATTGTGTTTTTGTCGATTAATTTGTAATATTTTTTCATGAAACTTCACAAACGTCGTGTGATAAAATTTAAAATTAGCCTAAAAAATGGTATTTTACTTTACCGCACCGATCGTCTGTCTTAACGTGTGTCAAACTCAAACTTATATGGTTGCTGAACGACAAACGATTGTAGTTCCAGTGTAAATGTTAAGTTATTAGTATACCTATTGTAATATAGTATCTCGTTTTAGTTGAAAACTTAACGATCATAAAAATTATACGATCATCGCTATCATTCGATAACTGACTAAAATCAAATTTGCAAAGAAGAACAGAGTATCTTTTAAAATCTAATAAAAAGTTATAGCAAAAACCGCGATAATTTTTCCAATGACCGCGTCCTCCGGGGCCAATAATCTCGGAAGGTTCGCTCGCGAGATTATAGTTATTTTGGGAGTACTCTATTGATTTATTGCGATGTAGGTATTATGTGCTTTTGTCAATCATCACCATCGATGCGTAAGAGCTTAGAAAATCGTTCTGCAAGGAGGTGAATTCTACGTAGTTTTAAAATATTAGTTTAAAACTAAAATAATGCGTAACGGATTCTAACGGATAAAAAAAGGGAAGAAAAAAATCCTTGCCCTTTTTTATCCTTCTCCGCTTTGTCGTATTAATAAAGACACGACACTACATAATAAATCGATTAATAAATAATCGATTTTTTTATTAATAGATTTTTTACTAATTTTTGAATTAATTTCAAAATAAACAACCTAAATATTTTATTTTTCATGGTTTTTTTAACTAAAAATAATCAATAGAAATTATAAACACAAATTTACGTTTAAGAATAATCAAAATCGAAATTAACTTAATCTCGTTTTGATAGATTTTAGGTGAAATTTTATAAATGCTGAGTGTATACCTTTTCAGTAGCACATTGCAATATTTTTGTTGTCTTTTTAATTGTATGCAATCTTGTGCTGCTGAATAAATTTATTTTACTTTCAAATTATAGTGTTCCATTCAAACTTGAGTTTTTGTAAAATTAACTGGTTTTATCATCCTTTCGATGTTTTACAAAAAAACATCAATACATCGAGTATATCAATACATCTTCAAAGAATCGGATTCAATGTATCGCATTGTAAACATCGATGTATATCGAATATCTCTAATAGTTCGAGGTCCGGGTTATAAAAGACCAGACATAATGTCGCGAGGTGGCAGATGAAAAATCTACTCTGATTGATTTTCAGTTATAAAAAATAATCGATTATTTTAAATATAAAAATCACGTAAAAAATCGATTTTTTGAAGTTATACTTTAGGCGCGTTATGAAAAATTTATGAGACTGAAATTTTACAATTCACCTATAAAAATTAGGAGTGTGATTATACGTGCCGACGAATAGGAATAAGACAATCTACAATAAAAAGAAATAGAATATGCTGAAGTTCGTATGCAACAATTTGAATGACCATAATGACATTTGTCATTTACCTTTTAAACAAATAAAGGAGTTTTAATTATTTTTTCAAAGAAATTTTCATCTTATCGTTGTGAAACATCAAAAACTGGAGGTGGAACAAAGCCAAACTATTTTTAATATTGCCAAAGAAGTATAACTTCTTACGCGCGTACATAAGTACACGGACCCTTTTTTTTAGTCTTATTATTTAAGTAATAATTGTAGACATTGATAATTGAGTATCACCTAGTGATTAATCTGTGGTAAATTGTCATCTATCACAATACCAACAGCAATAGTAAATTGACATTTTATTAACATTAGCACATGCGTCAATTTGACTCAGCTCTATTGACAAATGACAAGACATAAATCCAAACTCAAATCTCTATATATAAAAATATGAGCTATTAATAGTTAATACCGACCGTATACCGTAATAAATTTACACCTTTTTGATTGTATTTATTTAACGTTATTTATTTCATAATTCACGGTTTAGAGTAATTATTAATCCTCAATTATACAAAGCCCTAGTCGAAATAAAATATAGTGCTCTTGAGGACAAACATGTCTCATCAGACTGGAATTCAAGGTACAGTTATATCCAACACCCACTGATTATTATGTACAAAATTTTAAGAATAGTTTGTAGTCATAAAAATATAATTTTGTTCAAGAGGACAAATTGGTAAATCTTTTAATAAAACATTTTGCTGAAATAGATCTCTTACCAGAATTGTTGTATTTTTGTCTTTAATTATATTTATGGTTTAAATAGGTATTGTTTAGTTCAAAATTTTCAAAATTTTAATGGCTTACTTGCATTTCGTTCTTTAGAATTGATGTTTATCCAGAAACACATTATATTCTACATATTTTTTAAAAAAATGGTCATACTATATTATAGAAAATCATTTTTTCTATTACAGCAAATGCGCAACTGCAAAAATATTTTAGCAAATGCAGAGAGGGAAAAATAAGACTCTTGAAAGTTAGCATTGAGGATGGTAAGAGTAAACATTTTATTATTTAATAAAAATATGACACAAGGAAGGATGAAAAAATCAGTCTTATAGATATTATTATAGCTGTTATCTAATACTAAGTGTATTTAAGCACATCAAATATGTACTGAAATAAAATACAGTACTTCTTGTATAACTGACCTTATGATAACTCTTATAATTATTGTATTTAACGGTTTAATACTATACCTTATCTTTTTTATAACTCATAACATTGAAAGTGAATTATCCAGTTATAGCTCTATAAGTTTGTATCATATTATGGGACATAAGATCTATTTAAAATTTTCAGAACAACTTACATTGTCAACACACCAACCAGTAAAAGGGACTTGGGAGCAGGATTTTGATAAATATGTACCACCTCTGATTGTTGAAGATCTACCCTGTTACATACTTTATAGGTAGACCAATTTTATATCTAGGTATAAGGCGCCATTGACAAATACTAATCTAAGATTTAAAAAAAATAGTAAACCTGAATATTGCTGTAAAAAGTATCTCAAAAAAAGGTTTAAAGGATATTTCAAAGCCAGTCTAAGGAATAAAACTTCCTTATTAAACTTAAATTTTGTGTTTTGTCTCAAAACACACATCATAAGAAATGATGGTGTTAAAATAATATATGTATACATATGTTTTAAAGACAATTTTAAAAACTATTGTGTAACAATAGCAGTGCTGTCTTAGTGGCATGAATGTGTACCTCTCAACCCTGAATGCGTTCAAACCTCAGCTATAAGAAAAGCATATTAGTACATACTAATACGCTTTTCTTTGTTATGCACAATTAACACTCATATGGTGAAGAAAATGATTGTGTGGAATTTGTCATGCCTTAGACATGAAACTAGATGGCATATTTCAGGCACAAATTGCTGATCACACAAAATTGTGTAATTATTTGTGAATAACTGAAATAATTTACATGAGTATCTCATATTTAAAATAATAATACACTAATGGGAACTGCAAATCGAATGTATAAATTTCTCGTGTCACAAATCCTCTACTCCTCTGAAACGGGACGACCAATTCTAATATTTATTTATGCATATTCAGTAAGTCTGAGATTCAGACAACATCTATTGTTCATCCCCCTAAATGTGAAGGGTGGTCCTACCCCTAAGTTTTTATTTTTTAAACAAAACTTTTTGTTTTTATTTTTTTATGACACAGCATACAAAAATACATACAACCCTTAATTAACACCCCTCTACGATCAACCCCTATTTTCTATTATAGTAGATAGTTATTTTTATTGAATTAAAAAAATTTTCCTAGAAATAATATACAGGGCAAAACGTCGTTTGCCGGGTCAGCTAGTAATATTATAAGCATTTATAAACTCTGTGATACTACATAATACAATATAAAGTTTTGGCAGTAAACACAATAATTTAAAGTAAACAAAATGCAATTTCAGGTTTGACTCAACAAATTCTCTAGGATATGAATGGTTACTACTCAGTTGGTCACCGGACAGTGCTCTAGTCAGACATAAAATGTTATATGCCTCTACAAAAGCCACATTGAAGCAGGAATTTGGGTCTTCACACATTAAAGATGAAATGCATGCTACAGTAAAGGTAAATGCTTTTAAAAATTTATGCAAATATCTTAATATTAATAAATTTAACATAAATATAAGGTATCATAATCATTAAGAGTTTATTAATTGTAAGATCATTTTCTCAAAATCATATTTAATACAATTGAATGGCGTAAAGTTTAAAATTCAAGAAATGTATAACTTAGATAACAACCACAGCTTTCCAATATTAGATAGGCACTAAGAAGTTTTATTTAATAACTAATAATATCAAAATTATTCCTTATGGATATGTAATAGGAGGAGGTCTTCACCTCGAAAAGGGATTCTCATAAAAATTAAGATAATATTATATTAGTAAAATCAATTTTACCTTTTTTTTATGAGATATTTCTCAATGACTTATCAATTTTATTATGCTCATGTCGTTTCATTGATGAGAAAGTAGCGATACTACTTCAACCGAAGGCACTACAATATCTATCTTTAAAACAAAAAGAAATCTTTTGTTTTAAATTTCAGGATGAAGTATGCCTCAAAGGTTACAAAGCACATGTGAGTGGTGTGAATGCTCCCGCACCTCTCACGGACAGAGAAGAGGCTTTGAAAGAATTGAATGAGAGTGGACAAGGTCCTAACTATGGCACGGATGCAAGGTATTCATTTTATTTTATATATTCCTTGGTAAATATATGAAGTACCCCCCCCTACTCAATAGTGTTTGCACTGTGATGAAAAGGGAAAGAATTGTGTTTTTGTCAAAACGGCATATGAGACTGATTTAGTTTTTATGAATAAGGAAAATATGTTTAAATATTGTTTTTTTAAATTAATATTTAAAAAAAAATATTAGGTATGGATACAAGTCTTTTATTTTGAATTAAACAGTACAATTTTTTTTATGTTTATGGCCTGTTAACTCACAAATCTGATTTAAGACAACACAAACTAAAATCATTAAGTATGTGAAACTTGAAACTAAAAATTGGATTTTCCCAATTTAAATACATAATGACTAAAGTTACATGTACTGTCAGTTCTTAAATACCTTTATTATAATTGCGCACGTCGGACGAGGAGGATTATTGGAAATAAACTCCTCACTACTGCTTTTAATCGCCAACTACTTCTTATAAGATACTTATATTATGCCTTGCTCCATGGCATTGAATCTCTTAACTTAACTCTTTCCCCCCCCCCCCCTTTTTTTCCCCCCCGGCCCCCCCCCCGCCCCCCCCCCTTTTTTTTTTTTTTTTTTTTTTTTTCCCCCCTTTTTTTTTTTTTTTTTTTTTTTTTTTTTTTTTTTTTTTTTTTTTTTTTTTTTTTTTTTTTTTTTTTTTTTTTTTTTTTTTCCCCTTTCCCCCCCCCCCCCCCCCCCCCTCCCGGTTTGGGGGGGGGGGGTGTTTTTTTTTGTTTTTTTTTTTTAAATAACACAAATAAATCAGAATACAGTCCACTAACTACAACAGTGACATTCCAAAAAATACTGAAAGTACATATATGAAAATAGCAGGTATAGTAAACATTTAATAAAAAAAGAGACAAATTACAGAAATTTTCGGGATTTGAACTGAAACTAACCTAATACCATATTTTAAAATGACTATCACACCTAGACCTCATTTTAATTGATGAAATTTCAGACAGTCAACAATGGGTGGTATTGCTTTCCCGATAACAGAGTCAGCCAAGCAGGGCATAATTGATCTCCAACGAGGTTCCTACAATTACTTACAATTTAAGATAGGTAAGTTTTATATTTCATAACTATATATGTAAAAAATTGTTTTAAATTTTACTGTAGATAAATCAACCAACCTTTTTAGGTCTGGGCCTCAGATTTCTGTATCTGTTTCATGATCATTTGTCAATCTAATAGGTAAGTAGTTGATCAGCCTCCTGTGCCTGAGACGCGCCGTCGACTTTTTGTATCTAAGGCAAGCCGGTTTCCTCACAAAGTTTTCCTTCACCGTTCGAGCGAATCTTATAACATAAGTGGGGATCAAACCTACGTCCTCAGGGATGAGAGTTGCACGCTGAAGCCACTAGCCGAACACTTATTTTATTGTAAATAATATAGTATAGATTGTTTTAATGATATATGTAAAAATGGCGAGATGCATTATGATGATGAAATATTTCTCTTATATTTTAAGGTTAATGCAAAATATACCTCTGGACATGTTTGATTCTCGGCTAAATAATTTTTGGTAGCTTAAAACGCTTTGTAGCATATTTTTTTTTAAATAATAGATTCAGATATAAATAAACTTTTAAATTCCAGATTTAGAAGATGAAAAAATTTGTTTAGCGAAAGCTGCAAATATTAGTTTGGCTGAGCTCCCTTCACAAGTGCCGAGTGAAGAGGCAAGATATCATCTATACGTATTCAAACATACACACGAAGGAGATCCACTTGATAGCATAGGTTAGTTTATTTATTGGTATTTAAAAATTTGACTAATTTTTTTTATTGGTTAAAAATAAAAGTAATGTATTAATATTATTGACTTCAGGTATATGTCAAGATTATTTAGTTGGTAAAATGCATACCCAGAAATGTGTAAATATCTCAAAAACTACTGAACAATTTTGATGAAACAAAATCGGTTCATTTCGATATGACTAGTTACCGAGAATATCTTGTAATGTTTTTTTAAGCTATTGCATAGATTTTATCGCTAGGGCTTTGAGCGCGGCGTACCGAATTCAAGTGTTTTTTTTTTTTTTGTTGGGGGAAATTCCATAACGAAAATAAATTACACTAACGATGACGTAATATAGGGGCAGCCAATACGCGCTAGAGTGAGACAGACTATATAGGCGTGTTGGTCAGAGTCTGGAAACTAAAATTAATATCAAAGAAAAAAAAATACTGCACAAATAAAAAATGAATAAAATAAGTCATGTAAGGGAGCGTTCAAGTATTACGTAACGAATTTTGGGGGTCCTTTTGTAAAACGTTACGATGCGGATGGCGGGTATTGAATTACGCGTTATTGTTAATATTCGTTTTGGCGAACCGGGTTGTCACAGTAGTTTACACCACATAATGGTAACTTTTAGGTAGGTAGTTATTTTGGTGGTCACGAAACGAAATTTTACTATACTTGGGTTCAGAAAAGCGTGACGTAATACTTGAACGCTGGTTAACCTGTTTTTATTATATGTATGGTTAAGGTAACAAAGTTTCAATAAATAAATATGTATAAAAACATGACTTTGTGGAAAAAGCGTTATGGAGTAAAATAACTTGTAAATAATCATTATTTTCAACAACAAAATCAATTTCTACAGATGCCTTATTTTTCCAGTATTCATCTACTCCATGCCAGGCTACACTTGCAGTATAAAGGAGAGAATGATGTATTCCAGTTGCAAAGGAAACTTTCTTGATCTTATTGAATCTATGGGAGTACTGGTTTCTAAGCGGGTGAGGATTTTATATTTTTAATACTCTATGCCCCATGTGTGTCGATAAATAGATTATAGAATAAAATTAAGTAGGTAGTTCCCAAGATTAGGACTTTCTTTGTTTATGGTTGGCAATTTGTGAACTGTCAGTAAATGTATTTATTGAAGTGAAACTTCTTTATCGAGGTTGGAAAAAAATTTAGTGTAACACTTTTTCGTTACGCGTCACATTTTTCGGTTACGCGCCATGTTGCTTTTTGAAGTCAAACTTCTTTATCGGCGTTGGAATGAAACTTCTTTATCGACGTATGGGAGACATTTGGTAGCAAATCGTCACGTTTTTCAATGATAGTAATAATTCTATTACAATTAATGAAATTCTATAATAATCTTCGTAGTAATAAGGTAAAATGAAATATTTGTATTCATGTCTATGATAATAAAAGCCTTTTGTTAAACTTTATCTAATTTAACGAATTTCTGTAAAGTTGCATATAGTAGATCATTTTTCGAAAAATAAGATCATAAAGAAGTTTCACTTCTTACGTGTGTACACCTAGTACACGCCCAATTTATTTCTTTATTTATTTGCTCAACAGTATTCCTACAGCTACTCACAAAACAATATCCAAACAATTACATTGTACACAAAAGCCAAAAACGTGTAGTTATACAAAAAATATATATATTTATAATAAATTCAAACTTCTAAGATTCATTCATTATTATAATATTTAATATAAAGGAAGAATAACAGCCATTATTTATAAAAGATACCAGAATTTTTTAAATTATTTTCTTATTAGTTTCAATTTTTTGTAATTTGTGTTATAATCAGAAGGTATATATATAAGGTATATACGATACATTACTGAGTTACGTAAATAGTTTGTATTAGACCGAGGATTTTGTAATAGTTGGATTTTAATTTACACCTTATTTTTTAAGTCCATTCTATATTATATATGACAAAACTGTGTTCCAATGCATGGTTTAGTCTTCGACTGGTAATTTTTCCTTATTTTAACAAAGTTATGTATATGTCAATTCCGAACCTAAATACATACATCAACCAAGATATCATCCTTAAGTATGAGTAATGTATTATTTCTAAGATCTTTAGAACCCTATAAGATATATATTAGTGAGCCAAATTTAACCTTGATCTAAAAACTTAAAAACTATCTATCCTTAAATATTGCTTATTAGCGATAAGGCCGCCCGTTGCATCCCTTATAATTGTCATGTATTGTGTTTCTTATATTATTAGCAACGAAGTGTAAATAAATAAATATTGGAAAATGTAGTAAAATTACTTTTACTCGCAAACATAAGAAAATACAATTTTGTTATAAAATAAGAGATACAACAATTGAATTTGGTTAGAGACTTGGGGATACTACTAGACGATAAGATGTCTTTCTCAGAACATATAGATAATATAACAGAAAATGCATATAAACAACTTGGATTCGTCAAACGAGTATGCAAATCTTTCAAGAATATAAAATGTATAAAATGCCTGTACTTTGCTTTTGTTAGGAGTACTCTAGAATATGCATGCACTGTTTGGTGCCCAACCTACAAGAAATACATTGAAGCAATAGAGAACATTCAAATAAAGTTTCTTAAGTTTTTAAGTTTTAAGGATTTCCGAAAGTATAGTAGCTATGTAGATTCCAGTAAGTACTTTGGTATTGAATCATTAGAATGTCGACGTAAACAATACGACCTTATGTTTTTACACGCTATTTGCAACGGTTTAATTGACTGTCCTGACTTATTGCCGCTTTTACTTTTTCACGCCCCTTCTTCACACAAAACAAGGCAAACCCAACTATTTAAAATTCCTCGGTCTAATACAAACTATTTACGTAACTCAGTCATGTACCGTATACCTTCTGATTATAACAGAAATTACCAGCAAATAGATATATTTAATGTATCTAAAAAATGCTTAAGAAATTATATAAAAACTCAAGATATTAGATAGAATGGCTTTGTTATTTCTCATGAACTATGAATCTTAGAATTTAGAATTTATATAAATACATATATTCTTTATATTTTTTTGTATTTGTATAGGTGTAACTGTGCTTTGTGTGTGTTTAAATGTGTATTCCGTTTTTGGCTTGTGTATAGTGTAATTTTTTGAATATTGTATAGTACTCATTGTTAAGCAAATAAATAAATAAATATCTGCTTCCCTAATATTTTTAGCTATTTTCAATAAATATGCATAATGTGTAGAATATGGTTTCTGTAAAATAAATAATGTTTGCTTTGCTTTGTTCCATTAGTTTTGTCTAAGTTACTAAATGTCTTATTTAGTTTTGCACACCCTGTCTAAAAAAAAATCTTACCATGGGTGCCTGGAAGAGATAGCTATGAAGCGATAAGGCCGCCAGTTGCCCCTTTTTTTAAAATAATTTTAAATGTACTGTATTACTGTACACTTGCAAGGAATTGTTAATAAATTATATTATTTAATCATTTAAATTTCAGGTGGGTATCGATGAAGGAAAGGAACTAACTGAGGAATTTCTATATGACGAAATACATCCGAAAGTAAATTTGCACAGACCAGCCTTCGCTAAGCCAAAGGGGCCGCCCAATAGGGGAGCCAAACGAATCACAAAAGCTCAATCAACGCAATAACTCAAAAGAAAATAAGTATTTATATGCGCGATCTATGATTTTACGTCGATATGCAGTGTCCCATAAATCAATGTCAAGCTGTATCGATAGGGCAGGTGGTTAACCCTCAGAAAATTAATTTAAAAAAAATACTCATGTATTTTTTAAATTATTGGCCATTCAAAATAAATTATGTAACCTGTTACCTTAATATTAGTGTTAAAAACAATTTAGAAGGCAATGCTCTTAAAAATAAAAAGATGTCATATTTCATGATGGCGTAATGCCACAAAGAAAAATAATAAACAAAAAAAATTTTATATTAATTTTTTGGAGTTGGCCACACCTTTGTATATCACCAACTTCGGCATGACCTTAATTTATGGGACGCACTATAAAAAAATATAGCGAAAATATATATTTTGTATGTGACAACATTTATCATCATCTCTCACATAGTTTAAAAAAATAACAATTCCTAGAAGAGTATTAAATATTTTTACCGCTCCGTGGGAGCATGCGAAGCTTACAGTCGATCGCTTTTTATTTAAATATATCTGAGACATCTGACATTGCCAATTTATACTATCCTATCGAGTATGTACTCACATAGCTAATACACTCAAGTAATGATACAATTTTTTTTCAAGTAGCAACACCAGTTACACTTGTTTCTGTATTTCAAAATAAAACAAGAATTATTATTTTTAAACCACCCAACACTTGAGTTCACTCTTATTGACAATGTTTAAGACTTGAAATATATAAGGAAAGGCTATGTATTATACTCAAGTAACATAATGCTCTATAGAATGACAGATTATGGTACTTCTAGAAGTCTTGTATTTTTAAAAATCCTATAATTATAATACTTAAATTTAAATCACTTTAAAATTGTATTTTTGTATTTTAAATTAAAATTGTAGTCTTCCCTTTGTCTAGTAAGTTTAAATCGATGAAAGTCAGCACAAAATTAAGATCAATTTGTTCTTGGAAATTTCTGTGTAATAAATGTAAGCAATAAGTACAGTATTACTTGTAAGAATTTATTTATGTGTAATTAAGATTTTGTGCAATACAATATAGGATTGATCTTTTCATATAAGATTATTAAGCTAATTTTATAATTTGTAGCTTTTTATTTATATTCTTGCCAGTTATAAGGACCAGACAAATATAATTTTGCATTTGTATATATATAAAGTAACTTGTACATTTTTGTCAAATATTCATAAGTTTTCTTTCAGTTCTCGGCCCTTATCAATTGTATAGTATTTATATTTTATGCTATCTTTATGAATAAATGCTTTTGTATCATCTTTCTTTTCTACCATAACTCCTTAATATAAGGATGATTATAAACACTAAGATTGTGATTGATCTACAAGCACAATTTTTAAGTTTGAAGATAGGAAGAAAGATTACAACCAATATAGGGGAAATATGAAATTATATTAACAAAAATCATAATGAATGGTATGTATATAAATAGATTATGGTAAATGCTCAGTTCTCTCAAATGTATGGTAACAATGATCATGGACAAAAAGAATTCCAGTATTTCAGAATGCTTAAAAGTGCATTTAAAACATCTGAATTTTGATATAAGATTTAAGGAGAATCGTTGGTTATGGGTATGTTGCTATGACATACCTGCATAAGGCAAGGCAGTATTTTTTAAAGACTAAACAGTAGTTATAATCTTTATTTACATTTAAGCTACTTATTAAAAAATTATTATAGTTCATCAACTTTCGTCTTTCCTTTAGACTCAACCAACTGATCATGATGTTTTGTTAAGTTATCATGTTTTTCTTTTGCATGTTTTTCCACGCCTTGATTGTATTGTTCTTCCCTAAAAAATAAATTAGTCAATTTGTTATCTGTTGGTATTAGGTTTTTTTAAAAAGGACACTTATGTAATTAATTTCATATGTAGTATATCTATATATATATAAGGAGACCCTAAATTACTAAAATTACCTCATCTCCTTTAATCCGTAGAGTGATCTTCGAATATCAGCCATTGATACACCACTGATTTTCAAAATGCCTATTATAACTATACCAGCAATAAGACTTAGGGCAGCACCTTAAAAACCAGTTGAGCAGATTTTATTACAATCGGAGAAAATAAAAATTATAAAGACTTGACTCTTACACACTACAAATCTACATTAAATTGAAGTGGTGTAACAAATTTTTTTAGTTATAAAGTATAAATTTTACAAACACTAGACAAAACTAAATTGTGGCAAAAATGTTCCATTCACCCAGCCACCACTATAAAATTATGCTGTTATAATGTAGATCACCAATTAATTTTAAATTTACCTAATCCAGCACCAACTAAGGTTGCAGCAAGACCAAGATTGACTTTATAAAGTGACCCCGTCACTGCACCAGCAACCACATACTCTAATACAGAGTTTTTATCTCTATATATAGATATTGTAGTTGCAATTAAACTGAAAAAAATATTGAAATGTATCACCATCATATTTACTATTGATAGTAGCAAAAGGTTTAAATTAACAAGTGAATTATACTAACGTATACATTCCAGTAAAGATAAAAAGCCTCCAACCCCAACGGACCGCACCTTTCGCAAATGCTATAGTCACATAGTCTTGCAACTTTCTCTAAAAGTCCATAAGAAAACTATATGGTTGTGTAATTGTTTACAATTTATAATACATACATACAACATCACTACCTAGTACCTAGTTACCTTTGCTTCAAAAGTAGATTTAAATATAGTTGCTTGATTGTTTTCCAAAAAGGAGATATATGCATCTTTTGATTTTAAGAAACCTCCATAGCATACACCAACAAAGGCTCCAAATAGTGAAGCTTGTATGACATTATGCAATTCTATAGAAATAACATCATCCTCACTGAAAAGAGAAGTTATTAGTTAGCTAAGCTATTGCCATAAAGTACATGTACTTAATACATAGCTGTATAATACTTACTTTACAGTAAACATTTGTCTAACTCTCTCCCACCCTGTAATGGGTCCATCTTTTGGGTTAGTTTTAAGATTATCAATGTCATTTTTATTAGGAGTATTGAAAAACGGAATTATAGCTGCTGGAGTTAATCGCAATGTTGTTCCAAATAATATTTTCTTATTAAGAATTCGAAACATTTCGATATTTTAATTTCGAGACATTTATTTTAATAATAGCTTTAGATTTAAATATTATACAATAATACCGTTTTATTTTAACCAAACCAAGTGTTACTTATTATTGCATCTATTTTCTATAGAGGAATATTTTTTCTAAATATTTAATATACCTATTATAATATTTGAGTGTTTTTGACTTTTGAGTTTTCAAAATTCATATCTCAATAATACCATAGAGTACAAATTAATTATTACTATTTAGTTTTTATCTATAGACCGAAAGTGACACACTTCACATGCTTCCATCATAGGGGGTCTATATAGCCATATTACTACCGAAAAGTAGATAGAAAAATAATACATGTACACTCCCGCTTTTGCGTAATTGTATTGTCGAAAACGCTTCATTCGCAACCAAGAAACATGTTCCGACTCTACCGAAAAGTCGGCAGCGTGGTGTTTTTTCTACACTGTCGAAACATTAACTGGACGTTGGTCGTTGACTACCAAAAAGCGTGAGTCGTTAGATAAAGTCTAAGTCAATTTGTATTCTTAAAGGATAGAATCTTTCCGATCTTTTCATAATATTATGATCGCTTGTGAAGAGGAGAGAAATCTTACTTTTGGAGAGTCTTTAGGTATAGTCGAAATCGGTTTTGAAGAATAGCCGGTCTAAATATTCACTATCAATAATATGTTTCAAGCCACAAAGTAAGCTATATTACAAGAAAAATAAGATCGCACTTTCATAAATGCGGGCCTATGTAACCGCCGCTTAAAAGAACCCATATTATACTGTCTAGGGAGGATGGAAAAGGGCAAAGAGTTCCATGTTTTTATAAGAAACGACGAACCAAATTGTGCAGTGCGGCACCTGGGGATGTCAACAACGAAGGCGTAAAACTCCAGAGATGACCGTTGTTTGAAAGGGAATGACAGAATCAGATTGTGTAGTTCCATGGACCTTTCTCCGGAGTGCATATACACTTTAAGGCAGGCAACTGAACAGCGATGGTCAAGAGTCAAAATTCTATAATTCGCTTAGCCGATCTCTCAAATGTGGTGATTACTGGTTTAAATTTAATACCGCCATCTGTGTTTTGTTCAAGCAACTAACCTTACTTTACATCGAAGTTAGTTACGTGGTGCGTTTATATACAACTAGATGGCGCCGCACTCCCGTAGCTTTTATATATATGCATTACTATTAATAATTACTAGGGATGTGACATTCTGCAAAAAAAAAACGATTTCTTATCAATCGATTGTTTTTTTAGCATGAAAAATCGTTTTTTTATTGTATGTAACCTTGTGCTGCTGAATAAATTTATTTTACTTTAAAATTATAGTGTTCCATTCAAACTTGAGTTTTTGTAAAATTAACTGGTTTTATCATCCTCTCGATGTTTTACAAAAAAACATCAATGCATCGAGTATAATATCAATACATCTTCAAAGCATCGGATTCAATGTATCGCATTGTAAACATCGATGTATATCGAATATCCCTAATAGTTCGAGGACTGGGTTATAAAAGACCAGACATTGTCGGGAGGTGGCAGATCAGAGACAAAGATCGATTTTTTTAATAATCGATTATTTTTTCACATCCCTAATAAGTACTTTAATATGTACCTACAAGTGTGGCGGTAAGAGCTCATTGTCAAAAAGTACCATGAGTTTTTAAATATACTCCTATATTATAGTTTTAAATTTTTTAAATAATTAATTCAATAATAGATGCAAATAGAACATGAATACCTTGAAGTGGTAAATAAAATTACACAAACCATTTTTAATAATTTTATTACAAAATGCTTAAAATATTCTAATAGTTATATTCATTTTATCTTCAAAGGAATATGAACAAGTAGTTAATAAAATATAAACTCAATAACATAGATATGTACCTTACTTCGTAAAACATACGATAATATTAAGGAAACATTTTATTAAGTAAATATGTTGATTGAATAAGAATTAACAAGTTTTGGATTGAGTAATAACTTCATTTTCGTCAAATATTTTATTCACAGATAAAATGAACAGATGTGCTTTACATAAATCGGTGAAATAACATTTCGGGACAATCTGTTTGTATACATCTAATAAACTATTTTAACTTTACACACAACCCTTTAATTTGCACACCTTTATTTCAAAAGGGAAGAAAAGAAACAAGTACGGGGCAGGTGAGTCGCTACAAGGATTATTTTTACTTTCTCATTTCATTCACCTATTAACCACTACTGTCAGAATAGGATTACTTTATCTAAGACCTTAATTAATGATTATGTAGGTAAATCTGTAATAAATACTAATAATTTTTATTTATAAAGTTGTATATAGGTATTTACACTGGATATTTTAACAATAACTGTCGCATACCAAGAGTGTAGCTGACAGCTAGATACACTTTGTCTAATTGATAGTTTAACGTTTCAATATGAATGTTTCAGTTCTTTCAACTCGTCAGAATAAGGGACGTGGCACGGATAAATAGACCCTCCCGATTTCAAATCGGGACAAGTAAAATAAATTTAATTGTATTACCCTGTGCGTAACTTCTTTTGATAATATCCTTAATAAAATAACATCGGTTTTTTAATGTCCCTCTCTCCCTCCACGTTAACTTAACAACCTGTAATCCTCCTAAATTCATTCAAATACGTTTTGAGAAAAGAAGAAGATAAGGAGAGTCGAAAGAAGATATTATTGAAACGTTGAATGCGGGTGTCATTTATATTTACGAAACAGTAGATCTAAGGTATGTCTAGATCGACGATGCACAACATCATTTATTTTTGATCCCCTTTAAAATTTTATTTACACATTATTTCAACCCTTTCAGGAAAGTTTGGATAAAGTTTAGGAGCGGTAAAAATAAAATAGGCGAGGAGAAATAAAGAAAAGCATTTAATGGGTATAATAGTTTAATTACGAAATTAAAAATAAGAATGAAATTAAACACACAAAGGCTTATTCTAAAATAAGAAACCTTTCAATATATTCGAAACTTAAAACTATAAACCAGGAGACAAAATGAAAAGGGATAGAAATTCCGTAATGCCTTAACCGAACTTTATTTACTGATATGTTGGCCTTTATTCATATTGATATAGATCACTAAAGTACCTACAGCTTATATAGTACGATAAATAGATGTTACATAATATCTAAAAATAGATAAATGATATGCTATAGGTGTCATGAAATGTAGTATTCGAACCGGGAGACAGTGAAATGAGAGAAAAACAGAAAGCGAACGAACAGACACATTCATCCATTAACAGTAACACATAACCAACGAATGGAAACAATGGTCTCACTACGAATAAAATTGCATAAATTGCGCTTAATAAAACTCTCAAATATAATTTAACTGTAACATTTTTCATCAACTTTTTAATATGTTAAGATTAATTTAAGACTTTACCTAAAATAATGTGTATTGACTTTAAATTTGGCATCTCATTCTAAACACTGATTTAATTAACCTCTTACAATACAATATTATCCTAAATATTTAAAATACTTTTCTAAACACATAATTTTCTATAATTATCTATTAGTCAATACCAGTGTTGAGGAATTCTTAGGCCTGAAATCGCCACACGCGCCTTCGAGCGAGGGACAGACTCGCCGATTTGACATCTGACAATCACTTGCCAAACGTCAAAACTAAATCTGTGCTTTGCGTGTGGCGCTCGTGAATACAGATATGTAATTTCTCGACTCGAGTTAAAAGACTAAAATCCAATCTCTTTAGAAAAACGCTTTCCGTGAATCGGATTCTTCCTCAATTTGAGAATTGTGCAAAATATCACCACACCCTGGTCTCCTAACATCATTAATCCGATTTACTTACATTTTGATATTCCAAAACGATATTTAGTACAACTCTAACAATCCTTACGTCTTACTGAAAACTAATTTAACCATTTTACTAAGCTCTAGTTTTATCATTAATATACGTGATGTATAATTATGATACAATTTTATTAGTGTAAATAAATCTCGTTTGCGTTAATATCGAGATGGAAATTCATAATCGCTTTGCACTTTGAAACGTCTTAAGCGAGAGAGCTTTGAATCGCGCGCTTTTGCACAGACGGCTATGCATTTCATTGTGACTCGAGTACAAGCTTAAAAGTTACAATTGATTCATATGACAATTTACATTTCGAGTCGATTGTCAAGCTTGACAGTTTATGTACGGAGTATTGAAATCACCGTTAACAGCGGTAGAACACCTAACGTTACTTATATTTGTTAAAATAATTGATTTAATTGTCCGTGAACGAACACGATAACAATTCTTAGTCGTCAAATCAGGTCTCTGTTTCACGCATGTTTGCCTAATCACATTGAATGGACGTAAAACTGAACACTTAAACTGGTCCAATTTGAGGAGAGACGCCGAGCGGCGTAGACGAACGAGTTATAGTAATCGTTAGAAAAATACTTAAACCACGAGTTAATTTCATTCGAATTGGACTAGACGCAGTTTAACCAAGAAGGCAAAGATGTGTGAAAACCAATTGGCGTAGAATATCGGAGCCGAGTAAATTTATATACAAAGTGTCGAGAGATTTATACTAAAATACTGTCGCTAAAGTTAGTGTAAATACTGACAACGACGCGCTAATCGGATCCCGTTTCCCGAGGCCGCGACGGCGCATCTCTAATGTCGAACCGGGAATAAATAAATACTTAATCACTTAGTGAAACATGCACGCGCATTTATAGTGTTGTAGCTACCATTAATATAAATTAACATCAAATAAATGCATCACGTCACAATTATTTCACTGAACGTACCGTTAGTGATAGTTTCTACACTATTTCTAGTCTATGGTCTAGCGTCGAACGTCATGTCACGTCTGACACATTTCGGAAACGGTCATTACGTCACTCGAACCGCAGACAGATGAGTTGTGATTACACTAACAGAGAATCATCGAAACGACCGACAGAATATTTTTCTAAATAACGAAACATGGAAGTGAAGTTGTTCCGGATCGAACCGGCTCTAACTTAACGCTAATAAATTGTCTATAACTAATATTGCACACACATACACATTCTAAACATCAGAGCGATTTTAAAAAATACCAAATGTGTATGCGCACAAAACTATACTTAATAAGAAATGCAATAATAAATTGTGCATATTAAAATAGTGAATAAAATATATGTATAAAATATAATCTTATAACTGCAACTAATGTGACAAAAGAAATATATTTATGTTTAACAATGCAAAGTGAATATATTCCGTGTAAATATGCTCGCAGAAGCAACCGATGCAATGTTTGACATTGCTCATAGATATCGCCAAAATGGAAATAATTCTGCGCAATCTCATTGCGATCTGCTTCGATCACTGGAAACGTATATCTAATATAAAAATAAAATATAATGTTTAAAAATAATTTAAAACTCACGGAATGAAATACCACACAAAATATAAAACCTCTCTGACTATGCCTATTGCTGTAATATTAACAGTCGCCGACAGATGGGGCTTTCTTAAATTAGATAAACGTACGTATTCACTAGGGAAGTAGAGTTATAGCACTTATTTAAACTGTTCCAAGTAAGCGTAATACAGATACATTATAATTTCAGTCGAGTTATTCTCGATCGTGAGAGAGGTAGTCGCCAGGGCTTCTCTCGGGTGCGCAGGCAACATCTCGAGGCATGTGACATGTGACATTGCATAGACAACTGACATTAGACGTCATACTTCAAAGACTACTATTTATTATTATTAGTTTCAAATTAAGAATTCTGAAAATAAATTGAGATGTCGCTTGCGTCCCCGTACACTGGGCAGAAATGCGACACTTGTGTGATATTCCTTGCGGATGTTTAGATACTTGACTTGGAGAAGGAGACTCGAAGGTGGTTGGACTCTGACAGTTGGTAGTTGTGCATCTTGATGAGAGCCGCCACCGCATCGTCTATGGACGGAAGTTGCACGAGCGCCATCTTGCGGTCCTTCCTGAATTTTTTTAACAGAACTTTAGTCCATAATTTTTTAATGGATACATCAATCACAACATAACAGCAAAATGATCTCAGTGTTGTTCTCCACACGAAAAAAGTGGATGGAGCTAGCAAATAAAATTAATCTTAATTTTAAAATTTTAAAATCAAAATAAAATAATTTTGAACGTGAAAATAATATTGTTCGTTCGTTTTGCCGTAATTACTTTTTTACATTACATGTTTTTATATAATTAACACGAATATACACGAACAAATAATGTGTAAAGGGATAAATAAAAACAATATTTTTTATTAAAAAACACACGAAATTAGGAATGATTTGAATACTCACGGGAAGAATTTGAATGCCTTGATAGTGAATCCGCGTTTGGTGAACGCGTCCTTTATGTCATCCTCGGAGACGGTCGCTCTGCGGACATTCATTGTTATAACTTGAAGCGGAATTGAACAATAACTTAGAAATTCCGGATAAATGTAAGGTGAACATTCCGTGCGATGTTTCTTAAAGATTTTTGGAATTTTCAGCACTATTTCAAATTCTTATTTAACAATTTCGTTTATACTGCTTAGTATCTATTTTATATATTTTTTAATGTATTCAAAACTAATAAGAAGAATTTGTATTTTGATGCTATGACGTTTGGAAAAACTTACGGAATGTTGGAGAGATGCAGAGTAGCACTGGGCGGGTAGATGTTTTGGTAGTTTTTGCTTCCCGGCTTCTTGAATCTATGCAGTGGGCTTTGCGAGTAGTCACTGAAAACGTTCAACGACTGATTAGATTTTTGATTTAAATATACTCATTCAGAGTTTGACATATTCGGTAATGGGCTGAATAATTAAAAAAAAAAAGAATTGTTAAGTGCCTATCTGTTACCTAATCCGCTGTTTGCTGGTAGTTTTTCAGTTAACAATAAACAAAGAATCAACTTTCATGAACTAGTAAAATCTGAAATTGGAAGTGTATCTTTTTACTTTTAACATTTTTAGAAAAGGCAGCTAACATATACTGTCGATATATCATTTTGTGGTGATATACTCCGAGTATATTAAGCTTTTGCCATATTGATATAAGGCAAAATTAAAATACCATATGTATATAAGTTTTCTAATTAAACACAGCAATGGTTACTTAACTGATTGACAGATATTAATAATATATAATATTTGGCACAGGAAAAACATTTTAGATTAACACCACCAGCTAAATTTGTGAATTGGCTGTGGTCTTTTTGATACCCGCAAATTAGTCTTAAACAAAATCGATCGTGGGAAAAATTTACGTGTGAAAAAAAAAATTAAAGTATATAATATAAATAAAAAACCTTTTAAAAGGGGTATACCGTCATTTAATTATTTTATATTTAACACTGGATAATCACGACAACCTATCATGACAAAATAAGGAAGCAATGGCGAATTAATTTTTTAATTGGACTAGTAATTTTTGAGTCTATTCTTAAGAACAGGAAATATATTATTAGTTCATATTATTAGTACAAATTAGTAGACAATTTTAACATACCGTGTAAGTCCAGCGTCTGGTTGGCCCTCCTTCGGCAACTGCACGGTTTGGTGCTTGCTAAGCATCACGCGCATGGCTTTTCCGAAGACACGCAGCTTGTCCATGTGAGTCATTGCTGGAATTGTTGCAATATTTGAATTTGAAATCTTTAGAGTGAAGTCCCGAGGCGATATTACCCAAATAATTACTCAAAAATTGTTATATTAAGGTTTTAACAGATTATAAATTCTCGTAGAATATATTTAGTTAAAAACACACTTTTGAGCAGTGTTGGCCTAGTGGCTTCAGCGTGCGACTCTCATACCTGAGGTCGTAGGTTCGATCCCCGGCTGTGCATGTTACAAACTATTTTAGAGTAGGAATTTAGTAAAGAGAAATAAATAAAACACTGAGTTAGACAATGATGCGGACCGCTATAATTCTTGATACAGACAGGGGCGATACAATTATTATAAAAGACTACATTGACAGATACAGACTACATAATGTTAAGTGGTTGCGTTCAGTTTAACAGTGCACCAATGGACTTTCTTTCTATGTGCGCATTTAACATTTGCTCGAACGGTGAAGAAAAACATCGTGAGGAAATCGACATGTCTTAGACCCAAAAAGTCGACGGCGTGTGTCAGGGACTAGAGGCTGATCACCTACTTGCCTATTAGATTTAAAAATGATCATGAAACAGATTCAGAAATCTAAGGCCAAGACCTAAGAGGTTGTAGCGCCACTGATTTATTTATTTATTTAAAAACACACTTTTAGAGAAAAAGCCAATAATAAATAGAAAACAAGTAACTCACTCAACATGAGTGCGATCATTATTTGCTTTTACGAGATACAACACTAGAACATTCACAAATCCGTGACGAACGTGCTCAAAGGCAAAAATAAATGTCTAAACATTCGTACGAAACTCGCCTTTATAGCCATAGACATACCTAGATGAGCCTGGTGAGGTTCCGCCATCTGAATCAAAGCTGAATCTTTTTTGTTGTATAGGATCTTCACTCGTTGCACATCACCATACACTCCTAAATGGTAAAATTGTGTTATATACGGAACAATATTTCATGTCAATGTACCCTACGCTTTTCGTAATCAAACTACATGGGTCTACAAGCTTCATTGTATTATTGAAAAGGAAAAACAAGAGAGAAAATCTATACTCTATCTGGTCACGTAAAGCTTCCGTTTGTCTGAATGCAATACACTATGGACTTTTAAAACTAAGCTACTTTAGACCTTCTTCAATCACTACGTGGAAATCTACTGTACTAAACATTGTCTTTCGACATTTGAATTCGGAAGCAAGTAAACATGAAACTCGATATCTGCTACATAAAATGTCTGAAACACAAATTGTCAGTTAATAAAGCTTAGAATGATCATAGAATGTAAAGTGTTAACAAGCGAAGCTTCGACGCCAAGTCAATGGATGCGGTTATCAGTAAAGAAATCCAGAATGTTAGACAATTTGTCTTCCAGGCAGACAGGGGCTCAGTATAGTAATATTAATGTTTTAATATAAAATACGGAATGTGTGCACACGTACCGAAAAGGGTAAAGAGAGCGTCAGGCGTGACCATCTAAAACAATAGGAAAGAGAAAAGAGATAGTATTATAAATAGTCGTAAAAGATATCTGACATCATATCTATAAATAAAATTAGCAACTTATTTAAGGAATGTATATAACAGCCCGTAACGCCGACTATGGTTTAATTAATTAGTCGTTCGATGCTATCCCACTTAATAAAATGACGTTACTGGCTATTGTGTTAGCGCAATGCACAATTTGTCAATAGACTATCTAGTTCATCGATTTGCTTCATAATTGTGGAATCTAATCAATCTAATATTGTTCAACAGTAATGGAAATTTGCGGTTACTGGTTGGTGTAGTACAGACCTCTTCGTTTAGGTTGGACACGAGGAGGACGGTTGCTAGGGGCAACGGCGGCGCGGCGAGAGCTCGAAGGGCCGGTGAGGCTGGAGTCAGAGTTAGGGCTCCGAAAGCTGGCAGGCCGACTCCTCCAACTCCAACGCCGTACGGTGAGGCCAATCCTGATCCGAGGCCAAGGAATGGAGGTGCTAGAACACCACCACCTAGAGTAAAGTACACGACTTAAGTGTTTAAACTCTGTGTTTATTAATAAAAATATTTTTTGAAATACCTTACATTACAAAGTTTACAAAAAAATAATACAAATTCTAAGGTTATTTTACGACAATCTATTGTTATAACAACAATGAGCTGTTTAAAAATTTGGGGCCTTACGCTAATATTACAATTTAGAACAAAAAACCAAAAACAGAGCAGTGAAGTCGCGACGTAAAACATCATGTTATCTTTTTGCTCGATCCTTTGAATGTAAAACGGCATAACAACAAAAGCAACAAATCGAGTGTGTCGGAATAATCCTCATATATCACAAGCCTCTACGGTGCAGTGGGGATTTATGAAAAGTTATTAGTCACTGTGGAAACATTTAGAATTGATTATGAATAATAAACACAATACGAGATAGAATGGAATAGTGAAGATAATACTAAAGCCTTAATGCGAAAGTTTGTAGCCGTAAATAAGACGTTGTTATGGATAACATTCTAAAACATTTATACAAAGAAAACGTATATTTAATATTAAATGAGAAAAGTGCTTTCGCAAAGATAAACTCGGGAACGGTGAGCAAACAGTGCTTAACACATTTCGGGGGATATAATGCGTCGTAACAAACACTTAAACAAAACTTCGTTAGACAAGACAAACATTGCGGTTGTTGCGACAGTGTAGAAAGGTGCTAAAGCGTCCAGAGCCTTGTGACAACTGCCCTTTTTCGCAGGCGTGACCCGTTGCGAAACAAATATACTATGTTTAAAGTTACTTTAAGAATATTGAGTATAGTGAAAATAAAATTAATGAAGAATTAGTCAAAAAGCAAGCAGAGTAAGCTATTACATTTACTGGGACGTGTAGTAAGAATTCCTATAAAGAGAAGCCTGGTTACTTTATTTCTGTTATCTTTAAAAAAATAATTTGCACTGCAATTAAATTCATCGTGTTAGAGAGTGTTCTTAACTAGGAGTTTATGTATACATGGAGACAGAAGAAACTAACATTTTACAAAATACATAGTCGGTCGTGCATAAAATTCTTTAATATGCATTTGTTTCAGCAGCGGATCACGTATACTTGAAAGATTGTAAAGGGCAGATGTGGATAAGTATTGGACTAACTCTTCCCGGATGCGGCCAGGAGGCGGGCGCGCAGTGACATCAACTCACTGGTCAACAGCTGGTGGGTATCGCCGTCTCCAGACGGCAGAGTCGGGTTGGTGTAGTCCCTGGACTTGTCATTGTTATACTTCACGTTGAGACAAGTCATCTTTGAGTAGTCGATGCGCAGGGTGCAGCAGCCGTTGTAAATGTTCTGACCGTCTAGGGCCTGTTGACAAAATAGTAAAGGTCAAGAACCTCAGTAGCTATTAGAGTTCTTGGGCAAGAGAGTACACTATTGAATATAATAATACATAGTTACATTTCAGAATCAAAATATTCTCAATTTTGTGATCACAATCCCTATAGCAACCTCTTTTTTAAATGAATATAATTTATGTATAAACAAATAAATGTTTAAGGGTAAATCTGTCCCAGGGTCCCGTCCCTTGGCTACTTTTTCAATTTATTTTTGTGCTTTACTTATTAATTTTTAGATGTAGTTTATTTAAGCTATTGACAATTATTAATTATTTGATTTATTTATTGATTAGTCTTATTAACTCATTGTCGTAGCATGCTATCTACGTCGTAGAGGTATGCCCGTGCTACGTAGTTCTCATTAATACACTATTTGTTATCCAAATAATTCCCCTACAAGCGCTCTATCACAAATAAATCGCAATCAATCTTATTGTTTGTTGTAAATGTTATATGGGAGAAAATAAAAAATATTCTTATTCTTAATCTAGTGCTCCACGCAAATCGTTTATTTGTGTTGTCATATCGTGTTTAGAGTGTTATTCACACCACTTTACAAACCACTTTATTAATTATTACTATATTAATATTTGAGTTAAAAAGAAGTATTGATTACGAAGAAAAATACAATATGACCGTATAAAAATGGTTCTCTGGGAAATTTGTTTGTCCTCGACGCCTGTGGCAGCCTGATAACGGTACATCGCGATAGAAAAGGGAATTAATTAAAATGCAACAGCACTCAGCCCATTCCTGTGAGCTTTATTCCCGTCCACGAAGTCCACTGTAAAAGTAAACATGATATTTTTCCAATGGAAAAATAGTTTACAATATTCTGTATGAAATAAAGCTTTTTAATAAGCCGTGGATCTTTATATTCTCTAATTATATAGTCGTTTCAAAAAAAATCCATTTTTGTAATATTGCTCACATTTAATTTGTATTGAACTTTTTCACAACTGTAATAAATTATACTTTTAATACTAAAAAAAATATGCACAAATTAAAGACGAGGTATGTTATTAATGCATAAAAATACATAAATTATGAAAACATTTAAAGATAATTATTTTTAACTTTTACTTTATGTAAAATTAAGCAAAGATCGGTTATGATTAATTAATAAAACTTTTTAATTCGGAGTTCAAAATAAATATATTAGATTAGATTATTGTATAATCTTTTAAAATATACGCGGTTCTCTGCACAAAAAAAGAAAGAGAATAAAAATCAAGACTGCGACATAGTGGTAAACAGATGACAAACAAAACAAAACACATTATGTATGACGATCAAATTTGAGTATTATTATAACAGGTTAATATGATAAAATATTTATGCTCACTATATTCCAGTTAAAGAAAAACGATGTGAGGAAACCGGCTTGTCTTAGACCCAAAAAGCCGACAACGTGTGTCAGGCACAGGAGGCTGATCACTTACTTGCCTATTAGATTGACAAATGATCATGGAAAAGAAATCTGAGGCCGAGACTCCATTTAAAACTATACACAGAAGGATGTTTATATCCATTAACATTTTTCAGCAAATTCAAGTCTTATATTATTATGTATTCAGGGTGCAATTAAAGTGTTTGTTAAAGTAATACCACAGCGGCAAAGTATCGATATCGCTGTTGAATTTTTATTGCATTTTCCTTAGAGAAACGGTTTGCTTCTTTAATTCAAACGGTTCAATAATTGCACCCCGGGCGTTTCCTGGAGTCGTTTCATTAGGGGACCGTGGTGCCTGCGGCGTGTCCACTCTTTGACGTGAATTACCGCGACCAATTAACCGTACTATTTCAACTCGTTAACCAAAAGAAACACTGATATAATTGGATAATATAAATGGTATGTACTTTTTATCAGTTTTTAATGATAAAAAAATAATATTAATTTCAATATTAATGTTATTCTGGTAAACGCTGTATTACGCGATTTTATTGAAAAAAACCTTGTTCTTTTAAGCCTCCTTGAACTTACGACTGTATTGAGAATCTTTTGGATAAGTTCAAATTAGTCCGTCAAGATGTTTCAAAAATCGTGATCTCATGTATTATTAGTGTTACTTTCTAGATAAAGAGTCACAAATGTTTGAGAAATCGTCGTACGAAACGCTCAGAGGAAATTTTTAAGGAAAATGAACTGAATTTTTTACAATGAACAGGCGAAGTAACCTCGAATACCTTTCACAATCAAATAAAATTTTCAGAAACGCAATGAATAAGTGAGAGTTCAATGTCGGAAAGCTGAATATTGGCTGTAGATTTAATAAATTTCTGCTCTATATGCAAATGTGGACCCCCTGATGTGTAGACGTGAATAGATTGGTTCGCTTATACCTCTACTTATATGGAAATGTGAAAAGCACATAAGAAGGAGGTCGCTTTGATACGTAATTGTTTTTGTAGACACATTTTGATTGCGGCGGTATATGAAGCCGTTATTGGAAAATGATTAACACGCTATACGTTGTATTGTCGCGATTTCGTTTCGGTAAAGAAATTGCCTATTTAATTCTGACAAAGTCAAACTATCCGAGCCGAATTAGATTTCAATTCTACATAGGCGTAACTACGTATTTTGGCATGACTCTGAGGTGCCTAAAACTAACACAGAGACAGCGTACGCTTATAAAAACTCTCATTCACACTTTCAAATACACACGCACACACATTCATTCACATACTTATACATTCACGCAAACTTAGGTTTTATACGACGTACGTTTTCCAAAAAAACTGTTTTAAACATGTTACAACGAAATAATTGTAATCCAGTTACACACAGGGGCACCCTAGTGGGGCTAGCGATAGATGAATCACAACCCTATTTCTGTCTTGAATAAAGTTTTTATTTTTTATTATTACTTATGTAAAATGTCATCTTAACCTAATGTATTAACCGTAAATGAAACATTAAAAAGCAAAGACGCTTAATTCAGTTTAAACTTTCACATGATAATCAATCTTTGAAATTATAATTATGTTTTAATAAGAGCTTTTAGAACATACACACAGCGAAAACATAGTTTAAGTGACGAACATAGCGAATAGCCAGATTGAATTGACCTAAGAAAACTATAATTGTTTGCGTAAAAGCCAACTGAAAGACCAATGGTTATATTTAGGAAAATAACTACTTTGAAACACGTGTTTGTCACTTGATTTGAGCTCATAAGACGTAACAAGTGTCCTCGGTAACTCTTAATCACGTCCTCGTAATTGTTTTATCTTTAGCTCGTTAGAACTCGTTTAAGCAAAGACTTCTTAGAGAAGGATTAAGTGCGGTCCGCCTCAATCCGCCCCCTGTTGCTAATTCTGAAGGTTTTTCCACGGATAGCTAGATAAACAATTTTTGTCTCGGTATATTTTGCTATCAAATAATATTCGACATGTCGATACTATAAAGACAGGAGAAATATTTGTTGAATAATATTTTGTCAGGTTAATTTCTAAATTGACATTAAGTAATAAGGAAAAACATTGCATAGGTACATAGCGATGTACATTTAAATGATGCATTGTGTAAGCTTGCATACTTAGTTGCAAGGTCTAATTTTCTTGTTAGCAAAAAACTTGGCGATTCAAAAGAGGATCCTGTTTTTCCGCCCGCTCTACGCTCTTCATCGGAAAACTAGTTTATGTAGGTTTAATTATTATATAATTTGAGAAATAAAGTCTTTAAACCTAATTATCTTATTATTTTTTTACTGATGTACATATTTTCCAAAATAAATTTATTAATTTTCATTTAAAAAATCATAAAGTAATATATATATTTATTGGTTTTAGATTATTAAGAGGATTCATTGGTAATATACAGTATATTTTAGTTATTTAAAATACATCATAAACTAAATCAATTTAAATAGTAAAGCCCGAAAGTTTTAACAAAAAAAAATTACATATAACTACAGTAAAGACATACATATTAAAAGCTTTTATTATTCACTATACAAAAATTAATCCCAATATTGTTGAGAGTAATATTTTATCGAACAATGTAAGTAAACAGGAATTCTCTCTACTACTGAGAGCTCTTACGGGACAATCGGGGCTCTGCACTGAAATAAATACAATTAAAAGCTTTTAAATACAAACAAAAGCAGAAAGACGATAGTGGACACAGTTCACTGTTCATTTATTGGATTTGTGTACACCAGCTCGCTCTGTTCTGATAGAGATTATTTATAGACAAAGAAGATTATTTATATCTTAATAAGCTTACATATTTCGTGGATCGATTCCCTGCGATTTGATACGACAATTATTATTGGATTATTGGACTTTAAGTGAAGTTTAGTTCAAAGACACTTTATTTCTTTGAGAAATAAATCTATATACCACTTAGTAAGAAAATTTAAGGTAGGTTAGTTATGAACATCGTGTTATAAAATTATTAGAAAATAAGATATATAAAATAAAAATATTAGTTGCTCTGCAAAAACTTCGTGTAAAATTGATTTGCTAAATTAAAGAAACAAAAAGAAGTGTATGAATAGTTTTGCAAAAGTGCAGGTAGATCGCATAGATGTTACAACAAATATTGTATGACTATTGAATAGTTATAATTTATTAGACGTTCGTTCACTGATATAAAGAAATGCTAAAAGTGGCTTTTGATATTTTGTAAATATTTATTCTATTAATTTATATTGAACGTATACGATTCATATAGGTTAGTTGACCCGGCAAATTTTTCTGTATTATTTCAAGAAATTTTTAGTTCAATAAAAATTATCTTTAATAAAAATAGGGGTTGATCGTAGAGCGGTGAAAGTTAGGGGTTGTATGTATTTTGGTATGCTGTATCATAAAAAAATAAAAACAAATTTTTTGGGATGGACACCCCTAATCACTAAGGGGTTTGAAAGATAGATAGTAGCCGATTCTCAGACTTACTGA